ATGACCACTCCTGCCCAGCTAGGTTCTCAGGAGGAGAAGATTCACTAGCCACCAAGCATTCGTTTCCTTTTTTCCACCGAGTCCTCCTACCAAACGGAGATTTGGAGGATGGTCCTCTCACCCTGCCGCTTGCCTTCCCCCAATGGGCTTTCTCTTTCTGTCATTCCAAAAGGAACACTGCCTCCCTAGGGGTGGGCTGGCAGTTTTGGCATTCCAGTGGATTTACAATTCTTTTGACTGATTCCTTCTTATGATTTCTTGTAGTATAATAAAGAAAGACGAATGGACATTGTTATCTCTGTAGCTCTGTAGCTCTGTAGTTAAAGATATTCTGCTTAGACTGAAATAAAGCACAGTCCAGTGGGAATTTGCCCGGACGGTTCACGTGTGAGTCTCTTATTAACAGGGTTGTGTGTTTTTTTCATCATCAACCTGTTGCAGCAATGAATCAATTCCAGGTTTTAGATTTCTGCAAGGGAGCTATCCAAGGTACTCATGTTATTTGGGGGAATAGCCTGGTAGTTCAAAACCTGGAGTAAGTTTAGCTCCTCGCAGCCACCATTTCCTCCAGCGTTTTCCATGAGAAGATGCTGCCTTTTTGTATTTAAAGGCAGGGTCACCCCCATCACTAGATACCCTTGAAGACAAGGCTCCTTTTCCTGCACAGTTAAGCCAAAGTTAAGCAGAAGAGGGTTAATCTCAAACAGCATGCCAGCTCACTGTTCCACAGCATCCAGGACATCACAGCCCAGATGTGCCATACAGCAGCTGTTGGGGCACTATGCCAGTACTGTGGCCTTCTCCCTATTCATTGCATTGCTACTTTGCGACCCTCCCTCCACTTACCTTTATGAAAAAAAATACATTAGCAAAGTGTATATAAAGACAGTCCACATACTGCCAGACTATGGGAGAGAATGCATGAGGAAATTGCTTTTTTGGACCATATACTGGTTGGGGGATACTGGGCGCCAAAGTTCATAAAAGTATTTTTTTCAGAATCTAATGGAAAGGGCATATTTTTGGGTAGCTTATGGTTGGTCTTCTCCAACCTGGTAGATCTTACAGAATTTTGGACCACAACTCCCATCAGCCCTAGCTATCAAGGCATATGGAGAAGAACCATGGAAACTGAAACTTGTATTCCTTCCTACCTGTAGCTCCCAAGAAGCCGCCTTAGCCTGAGTTCAGTCACCCCTCTATCTAGCTCAATGTGATCTATTTCAGCCAGAGGTAGTCTGTAGGGATTCTCCAACCAATCGACGGGGCTTCCCCTCCTCCCATGCAGAAATTAGGCTTGGAAATACCTTCCCACTAGAGCCTTTCAAAAGTACAATTGAAGTAGTAGTGGACAATGACTTGCGAGTCATAGGACATTATCACACGGGGGAAATCTGCTGGTTAATCCACAC